TGGAAGTTGGAGACAATGCAGACATTTGAGGTAAATTCAAGATTCCTCAACAACATCTAGTCACACAGAAAAATGGCCGCTATAATCAGAAAGGTTACGTTCTGCTGTTTGCTTTGACGTACAACATGCTGTGAAACCATGAGGACTCCGTGATGTGTCTGATCTGTCTTTATAATGTGATTACTTCAGTACGTACAAATACTTGACAATCATCATTACAAAGCTTCGGATCCACTTTCTTTTGTAATATGTGCTCCACATCTATGCAAGGATGAATTCACGGGTAACTCCAACAAGAGTAATTATTCATTTAACAGACATTCAAGATCATCTTTTCTGCCAACTCTTCGTAGCACAAAAAAGAAACTAGAACTGTTGAAAAGGTCAAGTCACACAGGTTCATTCAATATGTGCTGCACCTTACTACAATTAATACCTTGTGAGTAATTCAAGGTTGTGAATTTGCCTGGAAGGTGTGCATCGAGATTCACTGATTAGTTTTACTTCAGTCAGTGGTGATTTTCTTGGCATCAACCTGTCTGATTAACACTGAGGCAGAGCACTGAACAATATATGTGATCACAAAGTCATACTTCTCAGTGGAATGCAGAGCCACACAAAAACTTCTTTAAACTTGCTATTTTGGTTTTCTTTTTTGATTTCAGGAAAACTCCAGCAAGTAGTACACTTAATCCGATTTCAAAAGGCTGATGAAATTAGCAACTACCTTCATCATAATTACCATGAAGTCACTAAAGAGTCACGTATTTGACTCAGGATGCTGTGGAGGCCAAACCAGAACTAAAATGTAAGTAAATACGTAACTGCTCCATGTTGGTTGGATGTGAATGTAATCTAATCAGCAGAAAGAGTGAGAAATGTTGAAGGAGAGCATATATATACGTTGTCAGATGGTTGATTAGCTCTACAAACCTCTTTCTTCTACACTTTTCCAAATTCTAATAACATGATTGGGTAACTGTGTGGAAGCAGGAATTGAAGTTCTTTTTACTTTGTCAGCTGAAATGTATATTTATGGTTTCCAACAGTAACTAAAAGACTGAACCCTTTTTCTAATGGCAACACAGTACTTAAAAACTGCACATAATTTACAGTTTCCAAACATTTCCACTAGGAAACGGAGAAAGAGCAGCTCGGCGTACGTACGCTAAAATATGGGCCTTGTGCAACCGTGACAGCTGTAAACCACAGCGTTTTCCTCAAAAACACCCAGTGATTGTTGTTTTTTTGCATGCAGCTGCCAACGCGGACGATGTATGAGTTTGCTTTTGTGCGTCTTTGCGGCTGCATTCGGGTATTTGACTGTCTATATGTGTGGTTTGGTGAATGACTGATGCACTGAGACGTTCCCCTTCCCGAGACGCTCTGTATTCCCACAGCGGTTCTACCCAGCAGCCTGCATTCACCCCCCACTTACCTCTCCTCTGTGGCCCACGTAGATGAAGGCACACATGGGCTGGAAGGCACCGGTGCCACAGGCCAGGAGGTGAGTGCGGTTGTAGGGCTGCAGGAGGCGAACAAAGTTGGCGCATTCCGTCTGCAAAACACACAAACAGACGGATTAAAACCCCGAATGTCAAAGATGAATGTCAAAGATTCAGTAAAACATCTGCTGTGACAACTCTTTTATTGTTTTATGAGATGAAATCACAGTGACTGACTGCAGAATGTTCACCAAATGCAACCATTTAAGTTCTCAAATTTGGGCACCGACAGATTAGGAACATATAAACTGCACATCAAAAAGCCACAATAATAGTGGACGGTCCTGTTAATAAATCAAATCATAGTAATTGTCAGATAAGTTGATTTTCAGGGTATTGAAGAAAACCAAAATGATTTCTCAACATGGCTTATTGATCCCACATGTTGTAATCAGGGGCCAAGGAAAGAGCTTATTAGATGGTATGTGATAGGCCTCCTATCTCCAGCGTTCTGGATGTCGGCCAAAGCAACACACTGATGATGTTCAACTCTGAGTTTCATCATCTTAAGGTCAAAGGAACCTGAGAAACACCAGAAATGCCCGAGTGCCGATATGACAATGTGCTGGAAAACTCTTGGTTTTGACATAAAACGTTAGTTTTGTTGAGAGGACGAGGACATGATGAAGACGCCAGCAATAAATCTGAATCGAATTTGAGCTGTTGCAATGAGAAAGACATTAAATTGAGAATTGGAGAGAGGAAAACGGATCCAACTCAAGTGGGTAACGTCAAAGGTTCCAAACACAGACGTCAATGACACATAACAATTAGGATTTCTTGAAAGCACAACCCCTCCAGATGGAGCGTCTCTTTTTCCATTCCATCCTCAAAACACGAAACACATACAAACACAACATTGTATAATAAACTTTACAAACCGTAATTACCACCATATGCACCTTGTCTTGGTACCGAGACTACACGTTTACACATGTTCACATACAGCTGCACCTTGTCTGGGAATTTTGCACCATTACTTTCGTAGATGTGCAATAACCAGAAGTGAAACATCAGTTACTCTACTGTTCTTGTGATTCCGAATATACCTTTAAAAGAAGAAGCTAATCCACTCAGAGTCACTTGCACCTACTGTTTGTTTTTTATTTGTTTATTTATTTTTCGCCTAGATGTTATATTTTATATTAGCATATTTCTTATTGTACTTTTAGAAATGTGTGACTGTGTGGATGCACTGATGGGACTGCTGCTTCATTTTGTTCATCCATCCATCCATCCATCATCTATACGCCTTAATCCTCACTAGGGTGATGGGGGGCTGGAGTCTATCCCAGCTGACTTAGGGGGGACTCTGGGGACACCTGGAAAGGTCACCAGTCTATCACAGGGCTACACTTAGAGACAGACAACCAAACACACTCACATTCACACCTACGAACAATTTAGAATCACCAATTAACCTCAACATGTTTTGGAACCCGGAGAGAACCCACGCNCCACATCTTCTCATATGGGCAGCATTTAAGATGAAAAACGATACGGTGGCGTTGTGTTTCTGTGCTGCACTAATAACTCAGTACAGTAGGCAGAAGAGTTCATATATTGTAACCTCATGTACAGGTTTTTTTAATCAGTATTTCGGTCTGTATTTTGTATCAACCCTCTGATTATTTTCAGAGTAATTTCATTGTCTGAACTATCTTTTAGTCTAGACAGGATAATACTCACAGGTTTTTATATTAGCCTTTATATCAAGGAAAAACAATATTGTGTGTTGTGAAACTTGTTATGTCTTTACATGTTCCACACCATAAAACGCAAGCAGTAGAACTATTTCTTACATAATGGGGGAGATTGTTTCTCCATGATTCTCTACGGCCAAGCAATTCAAAACTATATTCAAAAAAATTTAATAGGTGCCTTAATGGAAATAAATGTTACTGTTCAATTGCGGTCGCTGTACCGGACCATCGTGTTGAAGATAGAGCTGAGCAGGGGGGCGAAGCACTCGATTTACCGGTTAATCTACGTTCTTACTCTCACCTATGGTCATGAGATCTGGGTAATGACCGAAAGAACAAGATCGCGGATGCAAGCGGCCGAAATGAGTTTCCTCCGCAGGGTGGCTGGACACTCCCTTAGAGATAGGGTGAGGAGCTCGGAGTAGAGTCGCTGCTCCTCCACACGACAGGAGCCAATTGAAGTGGCTCGGGCGTCTTTATTGGATGCCTCCTGGACGCCTCCCTGGGGAGGTGTTCTGGGTGCGTACCACTGGGAGGAGGCCTCAGGGAAGACCCAGGACTCGCTGTAGGGATTATGTCTCTTGACTGGCCTGGGAACGCCGAGGGGTCCCCCCAGAAGAGCTGGGGGAGGTGTGTGCGGATCGGGAAGTCTGGGCGGCTTTGCTAAGGCTGCTGCCTCCGCGACCCGACTCCGGATAAAGTGGAAGATAATGGATGGATGGATGGATGTTTAATTCCATTCCTATGCTCATCTTTTGACCACAACTTTTAAATCGTTGCAATTCATTATTTTGTGTTTATTAAATGAATTACTTTGTATACAAAGTGGACTGGAAGTTGGAGACAATGCAGACATTTG